TTGGTCTTGTTTTCAGGGAGACTATGTGCGTTCTACATGGTCTCCCTGGAAACAAAACCAAGTTGCGACAATGAGGTCAACCCACTTCACTATCTTAGTTGGATCCATCTTCACCAGGACCCTGATAAGTCGTGTACTAATTCACATTTGCTTATCTACCATAATGCTGACTCCTTATTGGCTATCGCGTTCATTTTACATCAATTTTACGTAGTTCCCTGATGGCAACTCTTTATTTCAATCAGCCCTCTTGAACAGGAACAGGTGAATAGGTTTAGTGGTCATGGTGACCTCAATGTACGCAACTTGTCCACAGTCACAGTCCTGGGTTATGATAATCTCCAGCCTCAGACACTTGACTTGCTACATTTCTAGATGATCAGATTCCGACTGTCCGACCTTGACATTGCCATGATCCCTATGGCAAAGGGCTCCTGACAAGAAGAGCTCAGCGAGGTCGTCTTGACAACAAGATGAAATGGCAAAAACAAGGTAGGGATGGAATCAGTCACGGCTACCGTATTAACTTTGTACCATGCATTGGGAACAAAAGGCTACCTCCACAGTTTCGCACGAACATATGCTCATTATATGCTTTGATGTATTTTTTTCATTATTTATATTGATTCTATGGCTCATTTCTTTAGTTTTTTGTTACCTCTTCAATGTAGAGTGATTCCAAATCAAAGGTAAGCAAGAATGTATTCTGATGTGTATGCACAAAGAGTCTACTTGATGCGGTTGCTATAGGGTGAGATCGTGTTAATTGTTGACCCGGGTGCCTCAGAGACGAGATTCCAGTCAGGCGCAATAGGGCGAAAAGAGGGCTTGATGGTTACAGTGGTTGCCTCTTCTGCATTTCTTCCATGAACGGTGAGGAACAGGATTCGGCCCGGCCAGGCAGCAGAAATTACCTGAGACACTTAAAGGGATGGGCTTTAACCCAGCAAAACTCCCGACGTGCAATGTCGGTTTGACGGCTCTGTGTGTGGGGAATAAGCAATCCTGATGATAGGCGACATAGGGCAATTAAGAGCATAGAAATTCGTATCTACCGTAATTCATAAATTATGTGCTGCTACGCGTACCAGCAGGATAGTTGGAGTTCGTAATTTGGACAAGTAGGCTCCATTAAAACAGTAAAAACATGCAGGGGACAGGATAGTTCTAGGACAAAATAGGTCTTGGAAGCTCTCCTTAGGTTTTGTACAACGCAATAAATGTTCTGGACAGTCTTTTATGACTTAGTGAGGCAACTAAAGGGAACGAATCGTGTAGAAGACAACGCGTCCATTTGACTTAAATGAACAAAAGTTGTCAATAGAGCAATCGTAACTAGGCCACTAGATAGCAATCTTCCTCTTTAATAGTTTTATAGAGATTTCGTTTCCTTGGCTCAACCCCTGGCGATACCTTTGCTTCTCCTTTCACATAGGGATTTTTCTGCTTCACTTTTCAAGTAAGAGTATACAAGTTAGAAATGGCTTTTGGGCAAATTTCACTGGAAAACAAACTGTCATATTGAAGTAATAAAAAAGAATACAGCTACATCCATCCTCAGATGATATGGGTACGTTTTTGCATCCTTGAGTGACGTTTTATGCAACCTACCTAACTATGCCAGTCAGTATTTGTGTGAGGGAAAACTTGCCCGAGCCGGCAAAGACTCGAACATTGAGCCAGTGGTAAAGCTGATTGTTAACTTTACTCATGGCTTGGATTGCTAACACGTTTGAGAGCAATTTACAGCCTCTTTTGGCTCGAGGTGACCTTCTCGGCTAAAGAATTCAACGCAAAACTTTAGTGAGGATTCGATTAGCTTCATTAAGACAATGCCTTTTGTTTATTCGAAGAATATCTGGTTTATCGTGAGAGAGTAGGTTTTCGATAGAAAATGCATGAAATTCATTCATTAAAATTCGATTCTGAAATTTGGTCCTAGGGGAGTAGTGATTAACGTGTCGAGCGCACACTCGACACTGTCATGATTCGACTCCCTGTTGGAATGTTGATAAAGCCTATGCGAGATCGAAGCTGCAGTCCAGCCTGGATGAGAACAGCTTTTAGGAAAGCAAGGATATATGAAATTCAATAAAGAATATCAGTTCTACTCATAGGATTGGGGAAAAATTTAACTATCACTCCTTCATCGCCTTAAAAGAAATAAGGTGAACCCAACTTAAATATATGGTTTAATCAATGGTATGAAGACAAAGATTGTATGGCCTGTTCTATGGTCGCGATCTCCTTTCGTTTAATATCCTTTCCCTTATCTTCCTGGTTCAGTGATTTCATACCATCGCTGCCACCGTATTCGTGATATTCCAAAGGTCTTATGTTCTACAGAGGTTGTTTGACCTTGTTTTCGCAACATGGTCATATTGGTATGAAGACTTATTGGAACGTACCTAGTCCGGGGTCCATTGTCTGCATGATCATTTCCAAAGTCAAACCGTGGACGTGGAACATTCCCAAA